CCGGGGGGGCGCCGGGGGGACGACCCCCCCCCCCCCCCATCTGAGGGTTGTCCCCCCTAAAAATATGATTAAAAACCACGCTTTGCATTGTAAATAACAATGTTTTATACTTTAAATAATTGTGTAAGCAGTAAATTAACACAAATGAAGCAAAAATGCGTTTTAAGTTTAGAAACATTTTGAGTCTCCCCCTCCCTTTCCTCACAGTGCTTTGGTCCAAACCTGCTTTCATCTTTTACATCACCTACACACACACAAGTCCGGTGAGAGAGAACAAAGCCAATAGTTGAGGAAGTCCAGTAAGTAAGGCTGTCAAGGATATTTTATTCACTTAAACATCGGATGAAGTGATTCGTTTCTCTTTAATACAGATGACGCCAATGTATTTTTCAATGAGTCCGCTATGTTAGCAATAATAACGTTACCTGCTTGAGGGAAAGGGTTGCCAGGTTTTCATAACAAAACCTGCCCAATTGCTACTCAAAACTAGCCCAAACTATCCGCGTTTCGAGGGGGTCCCCCGGTAAAAATTGCGTTCCAGGGGCTAAAATACACGTTATTGGGGTCGCTTCAACCTGCGGACATGAAAAACAACCTGCGGCAACAGTGATAAAGTAGCCCAATTCCACGGCAAAACCGCGGACTTGGCAACACTGTGACGGATAGTAATGTCTACAACGGACACGAGCACTGTCACAGCGCGACCACAACAGTTGTTGTTGTCTATGATGATGTCTAATTTGGCACAGTCTCCCTGCTGCACTAATTGTAAGCCATTCCTTTGTGTATACATATCCTTACAAGTACAATTTTAGCTGTATTATTGTGTCCCCTTCAAAAATTGCTCTTGAGAAATTTGATGTTTATTGTTCCCCCCTACTGTTAGACGAAATTTATGCCCCTGACCCCTACTCTTTTTGAAAGACATCCTGGGATTTTTAATGACTACAGAGAGTCAGGACCTCAGTTTAACGTCTTATCCGAAGGACAGTGCTTCTTACAGTATAGTACGGTGGCCGAGAAGTGCAAAGCAGATCACAATTCTGAAAACAAAAAAACAAATTACAAATGCAAATGCAAGTCTAAAAAACAAAATAACAATTCAGAAAGCACAACAACAATTCACTTAGTGTAAATAGAATCCATTGCTAATACGAGATTTGAAAAGGGAGAAAAAAAAAGTTTGGCAAAAGACGGGCTCGAACCCGGGTCTATCGCGTCAAAAAGCCAAGGGCACGCACTTATCCATCTGCGCCCCTGGAGCTGATGATTTACAGACACTTTTAACTAAATGTAAATAGACACTCCGTATTTTTTATTCCAGAGTTAGGGCAATTCATACAATACATTTAAACTGAGCTACTTTAATACCATCTCCGAACTTTCTACCATGACTCTGCTGTTCTTCAGCTGGTTCTTCCTGTATACGTTGATTGACAGATGTCTCGTCCAGTCAGCGGTGAGTAATCCCAAACCAATGGCGCTGTCTCAAACTATACCTACCTCTTCCGGTTTGTCGTTGTGTTTTCTGACTTGTAAATTTGTTTTCGAATTTGTCATTGTGTTTTCTGACTTGTTATAATGTTTTCTGAATTGTTGTTGTGCTTTCTGAATTGTTATTTAGTTTTTTAGACTTGCATTTGTGTTTGTAATTTGTTATTTTGTTTTCAGAATTGTGATCTGCTTTGCACTTCTCGGCCACCGTAGTATAGTGTCCCCATCACTATACTGAGGCGTTAGGACCCACACAAACCACAGGGTGAGCACCCCCTGCTGGCCTCCCTAGAAACTCTTCAAGCAGCAACCTAGTTTTCTCAGGAGGTCTCCCATCCAGGTACTGACCAGCTCAACCCTGCTTAGCTTCAGTGGGCAACCAGTCTTGGGCTACAGGGCGATATGCTACTGTAATTTTAATTACAGTATTGCAAAAAAATATATAACACTCATAACTGAATTGAAAAAATATACATATATTTAAACTGTAAAGTATTTATACGTCATTATAGTGTTTGTGTGTGTGTGTGTGTATACAAGATAATCTATCCACCTTTTTCTTCAATGCGGAAGTAAGCCTGGGTGAGACTTCCGGTTCATTAGCCGCTATAGGTAAATAACGAGGAGAATAACAATGTGCAGTAAACGGTAAATCTGTTTGCACTACAAACCATAATTAAGGTA